CGTACAGACAGACAGACAGACAGACAGACATACAGACAGACAGACATTCAGCTTTATATATAAGATCATGAAAACTCAATTCTGTCAGACAGGACCAAATCTTAGGTGATACCCAGCTTCATAAACACTTAGGGTAGCCCCAACGCTGCGGCGTACCTCACGCAGGTTGCGCCTTACCCTACAGCGTGTAAGAAGTGCGGCCTTTCATAAGGCCCGCGGCCCGCCATGTGAGGTGACTGGGCCGCGGCCCTCCCGATAATCTCTTCCCAAATTCAACTTTGGCCGCGGCATTCCCGGTGAAATATACATGGGCCGCGGCGTGCGGGGCTGAAATTTCAAGGGCCGCGGCGCTCCATGTAACACGCTTTGAGGCCGCGAACTTTCTGATGCAATTGTCTGAGTAGGTGACCGTCGCGTCTTTTTGATTATGAGCGGCATTGTACGATTATTTCCTGCAAAACGGAGGAAGTACGAAGTTTTTGCATCTGCATTTACCCTAGTAATTGAGAAATGTCAAATCTAGCTTAGAAAAGACGGCAAAAGTTGCAATTTTATACTTCTATCCCATTTTTACTTCTTATTTGCTGCTTCAAAATATAATCAGCAAGTCCATTTATTAATGTTAGTATGTGTCTATAATAGGATGTGAGTGGCTCGTAGAATCTGGACGCGATCCGATTTTTGGAATGGATATTTTGGATTTTAGCCTTCAACTTTACGTGAATGACTGCTGTGATATGGTCATTCTGTTAAGTTCGCTTTTCTCTGCATATACCCTAATTGCTTTTTGATTCTCAGCCTGTCCCATCAGCATGAAATGCCTTATTTTTGTGACAAAGGGAGGAAGAGGAGAGGGTGTTTACAGAGGGGCCGCTTTGCGATTTTATTTCTCTAAACTAGCCTTACGGGTAGAGTTCCAGCAAGTTTGAAAGTGTTTTAACTTTGAGATGACAGAAATATCTGGTATACATGGGCACTCTTTACATCTACATCTCAAATCTTTTTGATTTGTGGTCGTGACTTGTCTGCTGCACAAATACTGTTTTGTTTACTCTAGAGTCAAATTCACTTTATTAGTAAATGAACACGATTCTTAAGACGGGTCAAGTTCCACAAATAGCGTGAAGTAATCCACTAGAAAAAGTGGTAAATCGCAAATCTCGGATTGAGAATATTGCGGCACCGTGCTGATATGCAGTTTTGTAATCTTGTGGCCCGGAGAAGATTAGCGGTATTTTGAGGGATGAGTAGATCGATTATTCGCTTAACTCAGAGCAGTGAAAGCTCAAAATGTCACACACTTGTTTTTCGCATACTCTCCTTTAAATATAACAGTTTCTGCGCAAGCTGCCCTTATGTTAATTTTCTGGTTGCTGATAAAAACGAAAACCAGTGATCGGAAGCAGAGACAAACAAAATACATCTTGATAAGTGGCTGTTTATGGCTGCATTTTGAGGAAGAAATTTCCTAGGGGGGAGGGCTTGAAGGAAGTACTAGGATGAGTCAGAAGTAATGGGAACTTATCAATGAAAATTTCAAATTGTCATGACTAAAGAAAGAACCTAGCTTATTCCTCGAGATATAAACCATGGTGATCGATGGTCGTGATCCATCTTTTCGCCAGTTCTTGGATTCCTGCCTTGTACCAGTCTGCGGGTTTTGAATCAAAAAATTCTCTGATTCCGATTCCGATTTCGTTTTGGTTTGCAAAAGTTCTCCCTTTTAAGAAATGCACCATCGATCGAAACAGGTGGTAATCCAGAGGCGCTAAGTCAGGGGAACATGCAAGATGAGGAAGCAGCTCAATTCCATCAAGCTTCTCGACTTTATTTCTTGAAGTTCGAGCGGTGTATGGTGGAGCATTATCTTATTAGAGAAGCGCTCTTTTCCTATTAACCAAAGCGGGGTATTGTCGGCGCAGAGCTTCATATATCCTATCCAGTTGTTGAGAGTAGAGTTCGGCGCTCTATCCACAGCCACCAGGAACTAGTTCATAGTGGAGTGGACTCTCAAAGTTTCACCAGACGCAGAGCATGACCTTTTTTTCACATCTTTCGTGTTTCACCCTTGGCTGCGGCCTTTGATTTCTATCTAGCCAGTGCTTTCCTATTTCAGCATTAAGGTGGTACGCCATTCCTCATCACAGGTCACAGTCTGTTTGATAAACCGGAAATCATCGGGGTTGATACCACCTACCTGTAGACAAGATGCACCTCTAAATAATGATATAAAACAATCCCAAGCGAAAAGCATTTTACATGAAAGAATTTTAATATTGCTTTTAATATTGCTTCAAAATGTACATTTTAGAAGCTTGGCCTGCGAAAAGTTTTCATTACTTTTGACTCACCCTAGTACAGAATAACATCAAATCGGTTGCAAGACCAATTCATTGCCAAAACATCACGTAATGATTATCAGAGCTTCTTATAGTGCTGCATTATTATAAGTTGAAAAATTCAAAATAAGATTTATATTAGAACAATCATTGCGGTGCATGACGAGCCACACTACAGGAACGATAGATTTTAATATTGCTTCTAAATGTACTGTTTCCCTTCCTCAGGGCCCGGCATGAAAGTGTAGCAGATGTCAAGCTGGAATTCGCTCAAGATAGAAAAGCGAAATATAATGGTATGTTACGTTCACATATGCATGCATGTTCCCTGCAGCTATGCGACGAACAGTAATTACTACCACCCGACATGCTCAAATACGACTTTGCTGAAAGCGCGAATTTGAGTCCTATTCTCTTTGCTTTGAGTAGTTCGTTCATTGGCCGATGACGTGATGATCATTGGGTGACGATATAACACCAAGTTTGGTGTCTAAAAGAGGACAGGACCGAAGGCGAGCAAACTAAAAAAATTGTTGAGGATTATGAAGCGAAAATTTGAACAGTGAGAGGTGAACATTTCGTCGAAGCACAAAGAACTATGGCTTCATGTTTGGTGCATATGCCCGCATTAGGGGCTAACAATAAGAACAAAGAATAAAGTCATATAAATTATTGAGTGATTGAGCGCAAAAGTTTTTTTTATTTCGAATTGGCAAAATCCACCTTAATGCCACCCTGAGGGTGGCAAAACTCTGAGATCGCCTGACTCTCGTGATTTTTTCTGATTTATTCTACATTCATTAAATAAAAACGCGCTCCAGGCTGTATGAACACAAAATATCCGAGGTTAGAACATATATTTTTACTCATGAATTATGTGTATCTGACGAACGAGGCCGTGAATATGAGCACTGCGAACAGATAACCGTGTGTGAATAGTCCACACCAGTGTCCGTTTATAATGTAACTAGCTGGCATACCCGGCTCCGCCGTATGTTCCGAATAGAAAATTCCATTTCTTAACCGATCCGAACCAAACTTGGCACACATACACTTCGGGCCCCGGCGGGTGTCACAGTCCACTTTTCGTTATCGATTGATGTCGATTTTATCGATTTTTTGCAAAATTTGAGCTAGGGGGCTGGGATTTGGCACAGGGGGGTAATCGAACATGCTGATTACGAATACAACATTAGTTTTCGAAACCGTGCATTACTTTTATCGATTTTATCGATTTTTTGCAAAGTTTGAGCTACGGGGCTGGGGTTTGGCACAGGGGGGTAATCGAGCATGCTGATCACCCCCGTGGGGCTGATCAGCATCCTCGATTACACCCCCCTGCCAAACCCCAGCCCCGTAGCTCAAACTTTGCAAAAAAAATCGATAAAATCGATAAAAGTAATGCACGATTTTAAAAACTAATATTGTATTCGGAATCCCCATGCTCACTTACCCCCCTGTGCCAACTCCCAGCCCCGTAGCTCACATTTTGCAAAAAATCGATAAAATCGATATCGATCGATACGAAAAGTAGCCTATGACACCCGCCGGGGCCGGAAGTGTATGTGTGCCAAGTTTGGTCCCGATCGGTTCAGAAATGGAATTTTCTATTCGGAACATACGTACATACATACAGACAGACATACAGACATACAGACATACAGACAAACAGACATTCAGCTTTATATATAAGATGTATTTTACCCCCCCCCCTCCCCCCTTTTTCGCTAGAAGCTCAACTTTTTGCTGTTGCTTTTGGCTTTTTGCTAGATGCTATCATAATGAAAATTTTCATGCGGTAGAAGTGAAGCATATTCCATGTGACTGGGTAGCTGTTGCCGAAATTCAAGTGTTAACCGCAGAAGTTTCAAAATGTAGCTCCTAGTTCGTCTTGTGTGTTTTTTGAGAGGAGGAAAGAGCGGTTTGAATTATACTTGCAATGACTAGCGCATATAATAAGGCTTTTGATCAGATTCATAGTAAGCTATTGCACCTTCGTAGCTCTTGCCACTGTCATTTTACGAAAATTGACATGCTTGTTGCTTATAATCTCATAAATGACACTCATAACCGTACAACTGATATTTGCCAGAAAATGCCGAAAGAAAAACCCAGCATGTCCCAGGCTTTACATGCTCACAATTTTTCAACCACAAAGGAAACATATACAATGCTTTAATAAAGTATTAATATATGAAAGTGCATTTTCTTAGTGAATTCGTTATTGATTCAAAAAGACATCTCAGCTGATGCTGCAGACACTTTTGGCGAGGTGAACAGAGATACCGTAGAAAAATTGGTTAGGTTACGGTAGTAAGAAACATCTTATCTGCTGGAGTAGTGCCAATGCTTGAAATGTAGCGATGTCTCAATACTGAGTTGCAGTAATCGAGCTCCAAATTTTCTACATAACAAGGGTTTTAGCGTGGAAAAAAATGAAGCTGTTGCGATGTATGTACATGCAATCTTTACGTATTTCAGTTCTACGCATCTATTGCACTTTAGATGATTTCATAAATATTTTTATCGAAGGTATATGGTAGATGCTAAAGAACTAATACCATGAAATTTCAACAAAGACAAATTAAACATTGTTATCCCAAGGAACAGAGATCGTAAACACTTTGAAACAAACGCCGCTTGCAGAATCTCGTAAAAGTATGAACAAATAACGCGAAATAAGATCACAGAGACAATAAAAGATTACATGTTGAGACCAGTATTGTAGCTGACTCGGCGTATACATATTGTGAAAGAATAAGAAGTTCTAGACGGATAGCAGAAACTCTTTCGATAGAAGATTTCCTGAGCACTCAATAAATAAGATCATAATAGTGTTTGGTCGATGACAGCCGTACGTAAATGGACAGAGATCAAACGAAAGAGTATCGAAGTGCCTTGGAAAAGGGAATAAATGATGGAAAAAGTGTAGAAGTAAAATAAAGGACACACATCCTGGTCAGATGGTAAGCACCGGACCGGTTTCTGCGCTACCAATATATGATGTTTGAAGTGATTTCGAGGAGATTCTCAGACGTCGGCAAGGCGAAACTCAAACTCCACGAAACGGTCAAATCTCGCCTAGTGAACGCTTTGCATTCTTACAGATCCAGCTCGAGCTTCCCATTACATTCGTGTCCGAAGCAACAGCAGAAATTCACACTTCCGTAACCGGTCGCATGTGAACACCTCTTCTTTTGGCATTGTTCCAACGATAACTGGAAGTGAATATTTTCAAGCTGTGCAAGACATCCCACACTTTAGTGTGATTTTATGCTTGTTGCATACGCGTACAGCCGACGTCAGTTGAGTACTAATTTGAACTGTTACGTCATGTTAAGTGTTAATTTCACTCAGTCTCGCATTTGCTGCTACCTCCATATGCAAAACTCATTTCAAGTCCAAATAATGTGTCAGGTGATTGAGCTTGGTTTGCTGAATGTATCAAGGCAGTCTGCTAGAATCACCTTTCCAAATCTCGACGGCTGGGAAATTTTTGAGTTAGCCGCTTAATTCTGATTTCGAAATTCGTAGCTTGGATAAAATCAAATAGAAAACAACAGCAACGATGACTTTAACGAGGCATAAACTAATAGATCAATATCTACAACTATCAAGAAGGCACTGAATTAATTAGATTATACAATGAGCTGGGTTTGCGGTCTAAGCTCTGTGAGGTGACCCACGACGTCAGCACTGCTGCCACCTCGTTGCCCAAGGGGGTGTGCATAGATGAGCAACGCATTCATTTGGGTGACTTTGCGCAAGTCTAGACGAGTTGGAAGTGATTAAAAACGAAGAATAGACGTGGGATCTCATCATTGTAAGGAAATGTCATTCGTCTGCTCTGCCAAACATAGGGTTTAAATCAAGTTCGGAATTCTACACAAAAATGATTGAGCTGGCGCGAGAAGAGAGTGGAGGGGTGAGGGATCTAGGAAGGGGCAGCCTAAACTTCTGAAAGGAAGTATTTTCATCTATCACTTTTGCTCCAATGAAAATTCTAAATCGAAGTCAACACATCTTCTTATCAAAGAAAAATCAACAACACATCGTATCATAGTAATTGTTGGTGCAAAATGGCTTGGACGTGATCTTAACGTTAAAGCACATATAAAGGAAGAGGTCAACATCACATTATGTATACTATAATAATAAAATAACCTTCGCAAGAGCCGTAACAGTATAGGGTTCGTAAAAGTACTTCTTTTGATAAAGAAAATTGTTATTTTATTCTCAAGATTATTGTAGGGTAAACAAATCCCTTACGTAAATAGGACTCGCATTTGCAGCATAGATCGCAATTCAAAAAATCAAAAAGCCTTTTTTTGTTACTATATATGCACTGATTGCACTATATGACGACTTTCTCGCTTTATATATCTGAACCTGCCATTTAGGAAATTGTCTAGAAGAAAAACAAATATAAATTTGAATATTCTAGACTCATTTCCTATTATTAGAAACTTGTGGGTGACCAGAATTGCTTTTCCGAAATGGATTTGCTGTTTTGGAATATTGCAGAATCTATGCTTTTGTGAGGCAGTTTTTGCAAGAATCGTCGAAGGAGAAAGAATTCGTTCGGACGTTTTGCTGACTTGTCAAGTGGGGCATTAAGAATAACTGCGAAAAATTTTGTTCGACCCAGATCTTATAATTGGGAATGTATTTTTACAGGGAATGGGATGAGGGCTATCGGGTGGATACTGTAATTCGCGTAAAGCAGTAGCGGTCGCAGGTTTTCGGTCCGGGGGGAGGGCGGCAAAAAATTTTTTCAAATGAAGGTGCGTGTCGTTAGCTAGAGAAGTTTTTTGGGGGTGCATCTCAAAATTTTTGCGGGTCCGTAACCCCTGAAATCTAGAAAAAGGGGCTGTCGCTACGCCCCCGAAAAAAATTTTTTTACAAGGGTAATCTGAATTTTTCAACAATTCTAAAAATCATTTTTATCATTTACAAAAAGCAAGTTACTTGCACATTTTTATAACCCATGTAAGTTTCAAAAATTTCGCTATCGGTCCGCCGCTGGAGTAAAGGTCTATAGGATAAAACTTGATTTCTAGATCAGTCACTCTATGCATCGGCAGTATCTCAAGAATCTATAGTCACAGAAAATGGCGTTCTAGGATATAGCTTCTACGACAGCCAGCGCCAAACGAAGCCCGTACCTCTTGATGTATCCAACAATCCTGAGCGATCATTTCGCCCTCAGCGTTCCACAAGGCGAAGCAGGCGAGTCCCATGTCAAAAGCGGCGTCCGACGCCGGCATCGAGCACTTCCGCACACCGACGATGCCGTCCATGTTGTACGTGCAGTTCACGTAAGCTTGGCCATGCTGGTCGATTCCGACATACTCTGTTTCGATGCTGGAATTGGAAAAGATAGGGTTTTGTTTGCAAAAATTAGCGCTTTTTTCTTGAGCTAGTCTCGACTCACATCTTCGCCCTTTTCGTTTGGTGATTGATCTGAGCGCTATGCTTCCGTAAGTGTGCGTTTGGTGTATTCTCAAGATCGAAATATCGTGATTCAGCCAGTACGGCCACGCAAGCAAGTAGCAAAGCCAGACTTGACGCGAAATCCATAATCTCTGAATTGGTGCTCTTTGCTAAAAATGTTAGCGATTACTTGGATGCGGATCGCCATACGTACTTCACGACGGACATGTGAACGAGCGCTCGAAATAGTAAGTAAAAGATTTCGTGCTTCAATGAATAGACGACGAGGAACAGCGGCCAGACGTAACATGGTCTAGACGCAAATGAATTTGCAGATTTCATCTGCCGAACCATGGAGGTGGCGGCTTAACGTGCCGTCCAAACAAGCAGGATATTTTCGAAATCTTCTGGTAGTCTGACAATATTGGGAGCCTCTCTTGGAGGAAGAGAAGAGACAGCTCATTCGAAGAATTCACTGTTTGAGTGCACGTTAGTCAGTTTACCTATGCTAACTTGTATCTCACATAACAGTCTAAAAAGTGCGACTTCATGAGTGATTTGCAAGTAACACTTATTCATCTCCTCATATTTGTTAAAGTAGTCAAAAGTCTCTATCCTCGGGAAATGATGCTCAGGGAGATTATGTTGCAGCTTATGCTCATCTCGGATTACAAATGCTCAACTAAACGCGATAAAAGTGGATTGTCAGCTTTAGAAAAGCTGTGGGATTTCTGAAAAGCTTTCAAAGGCCCTTTTTGTCATTCTTTGCCATTCTTGTGAAACTTTCTTCAATATCATTGAGCATATTAAGGATTGAAACTATGCAGCAACCTAGTATAATACAATAAATCCAAATACCAATAAAGTTCACCGATCTCTACTCGAAATCAAAGTTGTGCTCAACAGATGTTCCAGGGACTTAACGCGGATTACAGAACGAAATGTCACAAATACACCTGCCAAACAAGATAATTTCAAAATAGCACCTTGTTGATTATGACTAATGAGTCTGCTGTATTACACCAGTACTCGAAATGCAGTTTGCAGTAAAAAAGAAGACTTAAAAATGCGAAGAACCATAGGTTTCAAGAGCGGGAAGGGCTGGTTGTGGGATTGACATGATTATATTCAACAGGTTCGGTGTCAATAGCCGCTGAGATATAAAAATTCAGAGCTGGAACTCAGTCAACATAACCATAAGTGGATGGATAAGGCAAATGAAACGAAACTATGGTGAGGTATACAGAAGTTTGGCAGTACTGGTTGTGAGCTCCAGGACTCGAGGGTTTTTTAAAATCTTCCAACTCCGACTGTTCTTTAATCTTGGCATAGATATGAACGATGTTGTATGATGTTGAGCAACACGACCAAGATGGCAAATTCTCTTTATTAAAAAGGTTTTTTAAAAATTCGAGCCTAAAATTTTCTCAGCAAAAATCATTCATAGCAGAGGTAACGGGCGGGGAAGCTCGGACATAGACTCCGACTCGTGTTCACAGAACTTCGGACGGTCAGAAGGCTAAATGTACCGTAGGCTAGAGAGACGTAGACAATATGTAGTCCGGGTGTGTGTATAGCTCAACGACTGCTCGGTTAGTTATGGTGCCACCTCAGCCACGCCCATCTTCGGTTCGTTCTTGACGCTCATCACGACAAAAACGCCCCATATTACTAGTAAGTAGGTGTAATTGGGAGGAGTCAGGGAGGTTTATAGTCAGTAGGTTGCGCGGGAGCAACTTGAGTGTCTTTAGATTACTTTGGGCTTTTTTTACTCGAAAAGTACAAGGCAAAATTGTAACATTTGAAGTAACAGCTGCTATGAATGTCGCATGAATAAAGTAACCAGTAGCCATTGTAATCTAGATTTGGAATTTTTTTCAATTTAAAATAATTCGAAACTGTTTGTCGTTCAAACTAAACACAACGAAGAAAAGTACATCACTGACCTGTTCTTTATGCAGTCTAGCTTGAATTCTGTCCGCATCACTGCAGTCTATACAGCTTTTCATGCAGAAAAATGGTCCAAAAAACGCGTCTGCTGAGAACTTTTTTTTATCTATGAAACGTTGTTTCCGTCTGCTAAAATCTATCTAAGCTGATTATGTGTCACTGCAGCTAATACGAGATTTTGTAAGCTTTTCATAGAGCAATAGGAATTTTCCTGGATGAAAGAGATCGTATTGATGCTTATCCGATTGCAAATAGGATATTATGTCTGGAAGGAATCTTTGCAGAGAGAATACGGTACAAAAGACCAAAGCTTTGGAGAACCATCGATGAAGAGAGTGTTATCAGAGTAGTGCATTATATCCATTAGATAAAGTGCCAGCCAAATCTTTTCGGTGAACTAATTCTTAGACAAAGACCTCATTTATATGACTGAAAATGTTGTTTGCATCTATTACCTCTAGGCGCGAGCGCAGATAACTTCATCCATCAGTTATCGTTCCATCTTTGCAGAACTACAAATTGAGCCTGAACTTAGAAGAACTTTGAGGGGGAGCAAAGGATGCTTCATTTTCGTCAATGGATGCCATTTTGAATAACATCATGACAAACGCATTGAATTTGAAATTTTTGGTAACGCAATTGTCTGTCTGTGCATGAAGTCAAGATGCTATTAAGATAGGGAACTTACATATTTAGCTGAAGTAACAGTAGCTATTCAGGAATTTTCTATCCTGCTCAGACTAAGAGCAGCTGGAAAACAAGTGCTCATCCATCTCATTCGTACTCTTCTGACGTAAAATCTTTTGTGCCAGAGTCAAAGAACCTCAATGAGTGCCAGTAAATAGCCGTGTTTAGTTGATTTGTTGCCTTTTTTGTAATAGATTTGCAGAAGTATGCTTGAGCGACCAGAAGGATTTCCTGAACATGCAAATCTTGCTGTTTTCAAAGTATTCAAGCGTTTAGAGTTCGTCACAGAGCGTAGGCTCGGAAGTCTTTTTGAAATACGCTGCACATGAAAAAAACATTTCAGGTGTTTGCCCGTTTTAAAAATTTTGTGCAAACATATGCGCATAGAATGCGAAACTTTGCATATTTTTCGGTAAAATTCGCTTTTGCAGAATTTTGAAACTCAGTGTTGAGAGCTCAGATCTCTGCCAGAACAGTTTGGTAAGGAACTGTCTCCTTCGTCGCTTTGTCCAAATCCTAATTCTACAAAACAATAATGCAATATATGAAGGATAAGATCAAATCAAGCAATTTATTTAGCTGGAGCGGAGTCTTTTCAGTATTTTAGAGAGAACACGAATATACATAAAAATTCAAACATATTTTGAAAAACATCCTGCTAGGTTCGTAAAAAGTCTGCAAGGCTCATCAGGAGTCTCATGAGAGTCTTGTCCGGAAATATCCCAACGCGGAAGAGACGCTTTCATCCTTTCCCATTTGTTTTGACAGTCGTTATTGTTCAATTTTCAACTTTTTGGACTAATTGCTTGTTATCGTCATTTAGGGAGGCCGAGCGCTATGTTCCTTTCTACGAGGGTCTCAGCTACTAGCTCACCGGATTTTCCAAAAGGGTTACTTGGGCCGCATTGCTATCGTTTTAGCACAGCAACTTGTGATTAGTGAACGTCATCAGCATCTAATTTCGAACAGCAGACAACCCAGCATTTATAGAACAGGAATTCTTCAGTTAACTATCTCGACTTGTCGTTCTCATTTACTCGGTTGATTAGTTAGCTCTAGATAAAGACAATAGTGTAAGAAGACATTTTATTATGTCAAATGTCATCGTAGCATTACAGTAGCGAGCAACAGTGAAGTGCAGTTGAAACATTCAACAAGTGCAGCACCTGAGTCGCGTCATCGTTTTCAGGAACTACACTCATTTAACCTGTAAAACTCGCGAGCACGCGTCTGCATTTTCCGTCTGAGAGCACCTGAAAGCGGAGTGGAAATGAACCCAGGCGAAATGTTCTGCGAGTTAAGCACCGTGAATGATCCGTCGCAGCCTATTATGTATGGCTATTTTTGCATTTCCTTTCTATCTGCGAAACTATTAATGAGCTGATAGACTTTAGTCATTGCACACTTCAAGTGGGCTAAATGTTGGCACTGTAGACTTCTTTGAACTCTTATCTTGGAGTTCTGAGAAAAGTGTGTGAAATTAAAAGTTGACCGTCACCTACTGCGCTGTCGTCAAGCTCGGCACAAAGATCACCTCCCCCCCCCCCCTAAGTAGATGATGAGGGTCCTGACAGATTACAGGTGCACGTGATGACTCACAATAATCGAATTCTCACTTTTCTCGTCCTATATGCCTAACAATTAGACTTACGATAATGCAGGAAACGAGCGATGACGTCATGCCAGTGAAAAGGCTATTGCGTTGCTGAGCATCAGAATGCAGTAATGGACCGCAACCTACGCTATATGCACTTTTCTTTGATCAAAGAGTACGATGAAGATTCCTCAAAAATAGAATTGATGAAGCTGAAGATGATATGGTAGTCGGTAACGATAGAGCTTTTTGTATGCATTACTTGCGATGGGTTTCAGTGGGATGGATTTTGTAACCGTTGGTCTTGGTACCACTCTCATTTCATTTCTCAATTACACTGACAAGGTTTTTTAAAGGTAAAAAACAGGGAATTAAAGTTGAAGGCAATTATCACCTCTGAGAAATTTGCGCAAAAAAAGCTACAATACTTTGAGTACAGCTTGGTCGATACATTGAGCTATGCTCTCCCTTCACAGTCACGCTTAAAGGCAGTGTCCAGGCAAATCTGGACACATGGGGATCTTACGTTGATAGTTATTTTGGGGCCCTAATTGCCCACTGCCCGGCGGGCAGCTCAGTTAGTGCTCTGACGGCTGAGATATCCCCTCGAAACTGGTCCTCAGGATCGTATTATTTCGCGTGGATTCATGGCGCAACCCATTAGTTTCGCGTGGGTCCTCGCGCGAAACTGATGAGTTGCGCCATGAATCCATGCGAAATACGATCCTGGGGTCCGGTTGGGGGGGGGGGGTATATCTCAGCCTTAGTGGGTCACCTGCGCTGCCGCTTGGGCAGTGCCTTAGATAGGGCTCCAAAATTACTTTCCACGTAAAATCTCCATAGGCCCAGATTTGTCTGGGCGCTGCCGTTAAGTGTTTGCAAGATTACGGTATTCACGAATGATCTCCCACAGCCAGACTACTGAATCACGGAAGTCTTACTGTAAGTTCATTATCCTCCTTGCAGTGAGCTTGAGAAACTTATGCAAAAACTGTCTGGATTGAAAAATGAATTTTTTTCATGTCAAAAAACTGGAGACACACATATCATAGTCTGGTTTGCTGATTTGTGCTCTTAGCCATGCACAAAGCATGCATAATTCCTATAAAGTTTTGGTCTGTTTGCCTTGGACGCAAACTGAATGTAGGAGAAAGTTATACTTATTTTCGTAATTATGATCAACTTTTATTATTTCGAAAGACGCGCTATCTTTATTAGAACTATAGAATAATTATGTTGCCAAATTGTTCCTAGTTACCTAATATAAAAACTACGTTTCAACGCCATAGCCAAACCTAGACAGTTTTTTATCTGCCCGGCAGTATGGTAATGAGAGGCAGACCCTTTTTAGGCGCATCTCATAAAAGTCGTGACGACTATTCTTGGAAAAATGTAATTGTACTTAACAGTCATGCAAACTTGAAGGGGTTGAGACCTTTTCAGGAGACGGTTCGTCTCCTTCTGCAGACGGTTCATTAGCAGAGAGTATTCAGAAAAAGTTCGTGTACTTGTAAGTCGTCCAGACATTGTAGGTATATGTATAATAAAAAGCCGCAGTTGTAATTGTTTGTAAAGAGCGTCTTGCAAATAGGAGTGTAATTTGTCTGTGTCTCGATCTTTGATTGTTTGCAAATATTAATTTTGTGCTAAATACCCAGAAGCGATACTATTGTGCCAGACATTGGAAGCAGATGTTTGTAAAGGTTATGCTAGAAGCATGCAAAGTTATAAAAAAATAAGTTTTCTGAGACCCACGCAGATAGCAAAATTTACTGTAAGGAAATCAAACATCTTGAGACTTCATCTGCATACCTTCACAACAAATTCTAAATAAACAACTGCTTTCATAGAATAGCAGGAATGGCATGTGTGTTTGCGTTACTTACACACCCACTCTTGCGAAGTCACGCATTTTCTTTTCGAGGTAACGTGGAAAGAAACAGTTAATATAATGGATGAGAAGACATTGTAGACGTTGGGCTATTCGCATATTCCAGTTCCTCGAAGCCTTTTTTGTTGGCGCTACCATAAATAAAAGCATGTGGGAGACGGCTTGTTGAGTAGTAATTACGTGTATGAAGTATATTTTGCGGGTTATTTTATGAGTGGATTTTTCCATTTCAAACGCTCACATAAAAATCCACGCAATTCAAACACTATACGTCCGGTTTCGAATTTGCTAAAATCTTGCAAAAAAAATCCACTGAGCAAAGAGAATTTGGATATCTCACAATTATTCCGAAGATTGTGATGGAAAAGATAATATTTTTGCATTGTAGTTGACACTGCAATATCAATATGTCACTACGGATTGGTTCAACACTATCATTCAAGCCAGGATGATCGTACAGCAAAAAAAATATTGGGGAAGGCACGTAGGAGGAGATTTAAAACTTTTCAGGATTTTCTGCAAACCTTACCTGAGGGTCCCAGGGTGGGTCTCGAAATCGAACTTTCAGTCTGAATAAAGGTACAAAGCGGAGCTTCATGTGTATATAGCTTCATTACTTATGGCAGTAATGTGGTTGAGATGAAAATGCACAGCCAGTACATAATCTTGAACCAACAAAAATAGATGATTACTGTTGCATAGGAATTAGTGAAAGCTTATCATCGTAGACAAATTTAGCATAAAAAGACGTCACAACGGTTGGTGCAAAACATGTAATCGGTAGGCTGAGCTGTTATTCATTAAAGAGAGTTACTTCTGTCGGATTCAGAAATAGTCTTCTCAAAAACCGAGAAGTGAGCGAAAATCATCGTAATTCCAGTTCCTTATTCAATGTAATGGTCCATACTCATTATGGTCGATTTGATTTGTAAGCTTTTAGCCACTATTTTCTTCTTGATAAAGCAGCTAAAGCAGGCAAACTTCCATTTGATGCCCAGAGTTCAATTTGTTCGCTCATCGCTCAGGGAAAGAGCTAAGAAAGTCTAGCTAGAAGTTGTAGACTTACCATTTACTGTGGTTACAAAATGTTGAAATACAAATAAGATTAATAGTGTTTGCAATTGTAAGGAATATAACATAGCAGGCTTACTTTTTAGTAGTGTAAAATGAATAGGAGTAAAGTACGAGACTTGAAATAAAAAAGGCTAATAGCACAACGATCAGACTTTCCGATAGGTCAATTTTTTAATTTTACAGCTATATCCTTATTTTCTAATCGAGAAATAGAGGATGTAACAAACATTTTACAGCCCGAAATTAGAAAATTGTTTCAGTAAAAAAGATCGCGAATATAATTTTGTTTGAGTGCGTATTTGTTGTACATTTTATGACCGGAAGACTTCCTTTAGTTCGGAAATTGCCACTCCCACAATATGTTTGACGGCTATGAATTTCCGCTAAATTTTATGAACGGCAATGTAATGTCCATGAGAACAAGGTTGACCAGACAAGCCCATAAACAAGCAGGAAATTGCGGCATTTGCAACGGCAAAGCGTCTGCGCAAGTTAATGTGAGGACGGGATAAATGCAGGAAGAGGACTGATAAATGCAGGAAAAAGATCAGATCATTTATGGGTATTGACATCGAGTATTTTGAAATGGAATAGGCGTAAAAATTAGTGATTTTGCTTGATAACATAGCTACGAAACTTGACGATGTTGCGTTCACCTCTCATCTTTCCGCGGAATTCTTCTAAAAACACGCAAAAAAAGGTAGAAAAGAGTATGTTGTAGTGGCATATATGCTTCCAAAATTCATGGAATCACAGTTCTAATTGAACAGTGATAGATGTGATCGAAGTGCTCACAAATAAGCCATGAATTCCAAAAAAAGATCGTCTGATCAGAGTGCAACAAATAATATGAGATCACTGCTGTTTTGTCTACGAAATGTCTAAGAAATGCTATAAATATTTGATTCGATAGAAAACAAGGTCAATTTAGGTATAATTTGTTTCTGGCATGTCTGTTGTCCCAAGCTGATGACAAGTCAATAATGGAGACGATGTCATAGTATATTCATAATTGACGAAATGACGTCTAGACTAAAGATTTTATGTAATAGGAAATTTAATGGCTGGAAAGAGGGAGTCTGGAACGAAATTTCTACTCTTATAAGAACAGGATCTAAAATCTCGAGAAAAAGAGTATGAAATGGTAGACCTAAGTTGTCGTCCTCTGGCCTGCTTCAAATAAAACTCCGATCTAACCTTTGAACTGCGTAACATCACAGGAGGTGACCCTGGTCACCGTTCTTTGCGACGCGAACGGTCGCTGCGCGACGCGCGATAGACAGTACGAGTTACACGCAGCGGCGAGGGAAATGGGCGCAAAATTTCAATTTTTGAATGTTCTCATCTGTTTTTGCATTTCATTTCATTATCATTTCATTATCTACGTCAGTGTTTAGTGTAGGTGAGTTTCAGGTAATACTGTGGAATGGAACTGTTTGTAGAGCGGAAGAAAAGAGTCCATGAAAAAAATGAAAATGGTCCATTCGCAAAGGTATGCCAAAATGAGATTTTCATCAAGTTGGTAAATTGGTTATTGTAACTGCAGGAGCGGAAGGCCAGGGAAGAGGTCCGTGCTGCTATACCTTTACATTCACTTGATCATGTCAGTACATTCCTGAAAATCGTAAGGGAGGAAGAAAATGTTATGGTCAGTACACCTATTCTTTTTGCCCTATTCTTTTAAGCTTTCCTCTTAGGGAGAACTTCAACGACTGAACTTTACCACAAAGTTTCCACTTTACGACTATAAACTCATCCAGGTACCTAGGGCAATGTTGAAGGATGTAGTCGAGGGCCAGAAGTAAGATCCTCAGATTCAAATACATTTGTTCTTTTTATTGTATGCACCCTAGGCTGGTATTCCGAGGTGATATGGAGGATTCTCCTGTTCTCTGTACAGAAGAAACCACTTATTCAATAAAAGAAGTGGAAACGTCGAACTCTATGCTGTTGACTCCAACTTTAAAAACAGCGACCGAAGTCGGGGATACACAAGAAAAGTACATTACAAATGTCTCCGTGAGTTTCTTACTTGTATATTTCCGAACTTTCATGATGCTCTTTCCTTTTATTGAACTTTCTGGAGAGACCGTTCTCTTTACTGTTTATCTTGCGGTGTAATTTATCTAACGCAAACATCCTTTATCTAGATAAATTCTCTCTGTCACCATTATCTCGAGCTAGAAAAGGTACCCTGTGTAACGCCATTCAGACTACGTGAGTTGTTACATCAGAATGAACTTCATTGGGATTGGCCGTCTGAAGATTCCCAAACTAAGACGTTGGTTGTTCTGTACTTGCTTGCTTATGCCGTTTGCCTTTACCTTTCTCTCTTATTTCATAACCGTTACCTTTTGAAGGTATAGCATCGATGACTTGCGAAGTCATGTGCAAATGAGTGACGGTGAAATGTCGATGATGCTAAGTAAAATGCCTGTTGTTGAGCATCTTGGTCAGTTCGAGCTTACTTTTCGAGGAAAAAGAAATTGCGTCTTTTCTCGCTTTAGGAAAGATGCGCTGGCTGTCTTTAGAACTGCGTCGGAAATTCTTTACTTCGCTCATAGACGCATTTGATGACGATGCTTACCCAGAAGTTCAAATTACGGAGCTCACTTTTTCTGCACTCCGTAATTTTCTTCCTGAAAATGTCACAGACCATATAATTAAGTGGTTTTTGACTTCAATGTGCACAAAGTCTGACTCGGACGGTGAGTTAAACTAACATGTTCAGAGTCTGCCGAGCACTCATTTCATTTTAGCTTACAACGTAGATGCTGGTCCATTCGTACATGAAATTGCGGCTCATGTCTTGCAAGGTCCATTCCGAAGGATTGCGGTCAGAGATTTCGAAAAAATGCTGGATACTGCGTTACCGTGCGGTATAAAAATGGAGTATGTCCGAGCTTTCAGAATTTTATTGTCTAAAGTTCTTTCGAACATCTTCTATCACTATTAGGCCGTCTCACCTCCTTGGCATATCGGTACGTTCTGAAGACGTGCGAGAGACGTACATCTCATACTTGAGTCCAGAAGACTTGCCAGAAGATACGCGAGAAAGGTATTGTTGTAGTCGTTGGAGAACGCATCGAGCATATTCACCATTTTAGACTGCGGATATTATTCTCATTGCAAAAAGCTTGGACCATCAATGAGTTATGCCCGTATCTTGAAGATGTTTGTGCAGATGCCAGGGCTATGAGAGTTCTTTTGATTCATCTTTGCTATTCTATAGATCTTCCTTCGGGGGAAAAAGCATTCTGTTCGTTAAGACCTGTATAGCACTCTTGACACTTCTTCTACTCTACATACTGCACTGCCTGCAGGCTCACGCTATTTGAGAAAGCTTGTGCATTGTTACGTGCGTAGCCGACGAGATTTTGCGGTTGCTTCAACCAACCTTTTTCTCTTGGCTATGGATCAAGTGTGTGATTGTTTATGTTGAAACCTGCTTATTGTGATAAGTCCTGTGAGTGTATTTTTCACTTGACCGATTGTAATGAAGATTTTGTGCTCATTCTTCCTGTAAATTATCAATTTATGATAAAGTTTGTTGAATACAGGTCCGTGTGTATGCGCGAGTTGTAGTCAAGGGCAAACCCTTATTGGAATATTTCGTTGTAGGTGATTATGAACCAAATGATTGAAGGCAAGATAACAAACGGCAATACACTCAGTATCTGATGGAAAGGATTGAACAGTAGGTAAGTCGTTTAATTCATGTATTCTTTAGTTTTTTTTCCTTTCGTTTCGTTCTATAGAGCTCTAGTTTAAAAGGAGTTATCACATAAACTGTAGAACTGTTTGAGTTTGATCTCAGCAATCGATTAGGCCTTTTCTGACTAACAATTGATTGCTTATGGTTGTGTTGAGGTTTCGCTGTGCGCCATTTCATTGTCGTAAACCTGAGCAAATCTTTTCTCCATTGCATTGCCCCATCCGACATCTTTGATGTAATTGTGATACCATTATTCTGCGTTGGCTTCTGAACTCAATTATCAATTCATTTTTGCTAACTTTTCTACATGTGCGTATAGAACTTGCACGCAATCTTGTTCTTGGCGTTGAATCCTCTCACAAACTTAAGCCCGTGTGTGTGGACTAGTTTTTTCTGATGGCAGCGCCAGTCACTGTGAACGTATCCTCTTCTGGTACAATCCGTTCATGCGAACGATACCTTATCGTTCATCTTATCCCTTTTCATCGATAAACTTGTTGATAATATTGTTCTCGATTTTACTTGATCGGAGTTTTTGTTGGAATAACTCCTTATAATCGCTATGATTTATATCATTGAATAATTTTTCCTCTTTTTGTTAGTGCTTTTCTCCAAGACTTGTTTCGGTTTTGTAGCTGCCATGTTCGTCGCAGTTGCGCTCGCACGACATCGTTCAGTTTATCGTCAACTTGAACCGATTACACCTGGCGTGAAAGAAATTTTTGACTTGTACATGATATCTCATCCATCATATTATCAGTTCATAATGACATTCGTGTACTTCGCTTATTGTTAGCGCATCTCCCTTTAACTTCCTTATCTGAAGATTATCTCATTCGCGGCGAGTTTCCCGCTTGTCAGTCATTGTGACCTTTGCTCGCGTTTTCTACATTATATTTTGGCTATTCAAATGAGCAGTACACTGTTTTATTCTTGCGATCCTGACTAAGGTACTGTCGTAGGCCAGAGAGCAAGAGACAGTGTACTTCGCTCATGTTTGCGTTTGCAGTAAACAATACTTTCTATTTCAAACGCAAACCGCGCCTGTAACATACGGAAATAACGTCTCGCGCTATTAAAACACTTTCCCGCGAGTGTAGTGCAGCTCGCGCATGTGGTTGCAATGACTCACTGCTGTAGATGTATCTAAGAGTAGCGGATGGTCTACAGCGAATGAAAAAAAAACTACGAAACAGTGAAATTATGAATGGCTATGGCCTACGGTCCCCTCCCCTCCACGCAATTCCGCTTACATCGCGACCTTCACGCCGCTTGGCGATATGCCAGATGTTTGCGACTTCATCCTGCGCGGCTTTCAGATGCATAGGGATGTACCTTTTGTGCTTGTTTGCAAAGGCATCAGTTCTTGCCCAAGCAAAATGCGCCTATCACCTTTTATTAACATTCGCTGCTGGTGCAATCGCTTATGTTTGGACCTCGACTGTGCGCTGGAACACTTACTATTCTCACACAAACTCTGAGACTGTTGCGCACGCCCTAGGGGGAAAGGACTGGGCAATGGAAGTCTCTGTATGAGCTATTGAATGCTTAACTCGGTCAATTCCACTGGGATTGAATCAATTTTTGTAAAAAAAAATTACAAGTGTGGTTGCCGCTACGCCTCTTTTTTTGAATTTTCGGCTCGCTACAAATGTTGCCTATCTACGTATTTATTTTCCAAGTAAATTATTATTTTCATTTGATGTGATTTGTTCTAAGTTTGAAAACGTCAACTTTTTAAACAAAACAAAAATGTTTTTGAAATCATTGGTAGCTGTTTCGCTCGATTTCGTGACGTCAATGTTTTCTCTTCCTGCCGTTGAAGTGGATGTATCAGGCATGTAGATGTATGCCTTTTCGTTTTGACAAAATCATAGCTGGATTCTTGTCATCTTCAATGGTTCCCTCGCTACATCGTGTTTTACGTAAAAACTGTAGAGGTATTTTTATATTTTTGACAATGATGCTGAAATGATGGGAGGATAATGATAATCTTTATCTGAAGGAGAGTCAGAATAGCCGTTATGCTGATGCTTTACTGCGCTGTAGTTTTCCCGAGTCTGCCTTTTATCTTTCTACTAAATCATATCATGCTAAGCGATTATTTTCTTTCTGCAAGCTCATTCAGTTATGTACAACTGCAGTGAAGAAATTACGCGATATCAGCTTTTTTATCCGTTCACTTCTTCGTTACTGCTTTTTCGACCCAGGAGCCTTTTTTCGTTTTGCTTTTTTTCCGAAGGAAAGCAAAAACTTTCCACGTGGTCAAGGGTTTATCAACTTGATAGTAAATGCTAGTTTAATTGAGGGGTACAATATATTAGGTCGGTCCGGAAGTCCGTGCCGTTTTTCAGATCCGTGCTCAAACTTCAGTTAATGATAGATAAAGTCTTAAACATGTTTGAGCAGAATTTTTCCCCTTCAATCGTTATGTTTTTGTTCAGACCTCCTAAACGTCCGCTCAAATAATCGTCAGAATCTCCACCCATGGAATTTACCCATCTTGAATTGGCAATTTTTCAAAACTTCCATTCTCAGCTTTTGGGCTAGCTTTGATAACAATTGGATAGAATAAAAAAATTGCAAAACAATGATGTGTTTTGGCCTCTTTAACTAGCTTTCCAGTATTTCTCAAAATAATTTTCCCAAAAGCCTTTGCTTCTGCGAAGTCGTGAAATACGCAATCACTCAAAATAAAATCTTCGGAATTCAAAGCTTCCAAAAACAGCTTTTTACTCAACGCTGATTTTAGCAAGCAACTGAGCGTTTAGCGGTTTGAAATATTGGATTCCGAATTTTCTGGGTATAGCTTGAACCGAGTCCAGAAAACAAGATATGACGATTTTACCTCAAATATTATGCAAATTAGGAAGAAAATAGTTTTTCAGGAGGAGAAAAAGCTGCATCGAATGACACCCTGGTTGCTTGCCTTTTATTGTTCTTTGAGGATTGGGATGCCCAAATATGGAATCTGATACCATTAGAAATATATTTTTGAAAATTTCGAAGACAGCTAGAGATGCCAAAAATTGTATTGTATTGCATCTGTTTATTCTATCCAGCTGTTGTCGAAGCTAGTCCAAAAGTTGAAAATGGAAACTTTAAAAAATAGCCAAACTCAAGATGGGTGAAAGCCATGGGCCGTTGATTCTGACGATTATTTGAGCGGATATCAAAGCGATCTGAACAAAAACGCTTAGAAAGAGGAATGAATTTTGCATTGAACACTATTGAGAGCGCTTGTCTATCATTATTCTAAGTGCTTTGAGCATGGGTCTGAAAAGCGGCACGAACTTTCAGACCGACCTAATGTATCCATCGAAGGTCTTGTAAGCCACGGTAACTCATCGATGCAACTCTGTAGAATTTTATTCAGTTAAATTCAAAGTGCCTAAACGATCGAAAATGTAAGGATTGTGAGAGAGGAAGTTTGTCGAGGACATGGGCAAACGCAATTTTTTTTCCGCGTGTACAATACATTGTGTAGATGAAGTTGTATTGAAGTTTTTATAAGCGATTTTCAAAACAAGCTCCTCACATTAATAGAAGTCTAGTAGATCTGAGGCTGTCAAGGTGTTCTTGCATTGCTAACAAATTGCGCGTAAACAATGGCATTTGCAATATGGTAATTTTAGCGCGGTTGGAAGCAAGTTTCCGCCATCTATGAGCTCGGCATCTGTTTGCCGAGCTCATAGATGTTTGCAGTTGTTGTTCACCGCAAAGGCACTACATCAATGTGGAAATCTATTAGGCTGTACCTTTTTCCGCTGTATAGTATGAAGACAGATTTCTTCTAGCAATTTTTTGATAGGAATTTTTCGAGAGGCTTAGAAGTTGGAAGAATTGTGAGCGTTCAACTCAGTTGCTAAAGTTTTTGAAGCAGTATGATGGGTACCTCTATATCGTTAGGTTAATGCAAAAGTCTTGCACCAGAAAATGTTTATGGTAAATTTCAATATCTTCAAGGAAAACAAAACAATCTGTGCCATATAGTCCTTGATATGTCGAGTAAATGTAGTATTATACTTATCAAAGTAGTGAAAAAAAATTAGAAATATTGGGGAGAATCTAGGATGATCATATTTTATTTATTTATTTATTTATATGCACTCGAGGCGCCACTAAAAAAGAACAGAAATTCAAGCACAAGTCTAACAGTCACACAGTACATTCTGGTAGAATTTGTTACCAGCCGGCCAGACCTCTACTGGTAGTAAGAATATTATTTATTTATTTGAATATTGTATTAAAATAAGTATTATTATAATAGTAATATTATGATAAATATTATAATAAATATTATTTATTTATATATGTTGGTCCGAAAGTTCTGTCCCACCATTTTTAAAAAATCATAACTTCATCCTGACATGATGATTTTGCATGGCTAGAACCTTATTGAAAAGAGCATTCATGCGCTTTTTAGAAACATCTTGACTGCTATCTATTAAGCTCGCAGTGCAGAGATAAAATTGGAAAAAGGAAGTCACTTCAATTTCGAAATTTTTAAGCAAACCGTTAAAAATCAAAAATTGTGCCATAAAATCCAAGACAGCCAGTAACCTAGGCTTTCTGATCCCCTCTTTCTATATGGGCAAAGTTCGCGCTGTTTAAGCTCTTCCTAGAAAAGTTCTGATACTCAAGAAAAAAGGCCAAATATCAGTTTTTTAAGAAAATTGATTTTTTGACATTTTCTTCAAAAAATCATAACTTTCAAAATTACAGCTCGATCAGCACAAATTTTGCTCAGCTAGAAAGAGGGGCTCACAAAGTCTAGGATAGTGGCTGTCTTGGATTTTATGGCACAGTTTTAGATTTTTTAACGGGCTTGCTTAAAAATTCCAAACGTGAAGTGATTTCCTTTTCCCAATTTTATCTCTGCATTCAGAGCTCAGTAGATAGCAGCCAAGGTAGTTTTAGAAAGTGCATGAATTGCTCTTTCCAAAAAGGTTTTAGCCATGCAGAAATATCATGTTGGGAGGAAGT